TTTGAAGTTTAAGGGAACCCTTGATCAGAAGGTATAAATGGTTATATGGGATTTAAAAAATCTGATCTTCTAAAACAGCAGGTCCCAAAAGCTGGCCTGCGAATCTATTCTGATTCATGTATTAATACAAGTTTACCGGGTGAGCAGTAATATGAGAAACATAGGAAAAATGTGCTAATCTTTTAAGAAAGCTGAATTTACTCAGTTTGAAGACATCATTTATTCTAAGAGTATGTCTTCCATTTTAAAGAATCAAAGTGGGTAGTGAGATTGAAAAGTTTCAGTTCTACATCATTAAAACAGGTTTTACAATGTTATCACTTCAAGTCCAACACAAGAAACTGGAAGGAGACTTTGGGATTTTTGTAACACATAAATAGTTCACTTTGTATTTAATAACTAAAGATATAAAAAACAATACCTGTCAAAACAAGTCAATTCCCCCTGGGGCATAATGCATGAAAATTAATCTGTAAGCTTCCAAAGAGGATTATTTCTAAGCATTTTTTGTGGTTCAAAATCACTTGGAATAAGTTCCTTCAAGCCCTACCAATAAATGATACTCTCAGACCACTATTCCAATAATAATAATAAAAAATTTAATATACTTTAATTTGGTTTAGAAGCTGTTTTTTTTTTTTTTTTTTTTTTTTAAGAAAACGACCATAATAAAGAATTGAATCCTAATGGGAATGTAGAAGTCACCACACATATAAACTTAGTTTTATTTTTAAATTACCCTAGGTGAGAGATTCCTTCTTGATGAAAATGACTGGTCTCTATCAAATAGGAGGGCATATCCCTTTCTTGCCATACTATAGAGCTAGTAGCTTACTGTTTTCTTAAATACCGTTATCCACATGCAAACATAGCCACCTTTTACCTTTGGATTTGGATAAAGATCATTCTTTGTCAGGTTTTTACCATCAGCTCCTGTTAAGATCTTATTGCGAATATGAATCACAATCTCAGCTATATTATATCTGGGGAAAGACAAAGTTTCCATCTTGAAAGTTTCCTGTTAATCTGAAAGAAGAAAAAAAAATATTAGAAATATCACATAATCAGTAGCTCTCATTATCTGGAAGCCGATAAATATAAGGACAAAATGAATGAGCCAAAGTTGAACTATTCATAGCAGTGTTAACTATCATAAAACAAAGATAAAGACAAGTATTTATATATGTATCCTAAGATGACTTTTATTCTAAAGTGACATGGTTATTTTCTGCTAGTTTTCTTAGTGTTGTTCTCTTTTATGTGGAAAGGAGGGCTTTGGTTGAATAGGTAGATGAGAAACCATGTGGTTCTCTTTTACATTAGAGGGCCGGGAGCTTAACAAGACCAATCCTGATAATTCTCAAAGCAAGGCATATAGGCAACATCATGAGCAGAAGTTACATATAAAAAACAAGGGCATAAAAAATTGTATTCTGATTTGACATCCTATTCAATATATACATAGTGAGATACCTAATAAGGTTTTAGATGCAAATAGAAGAGAGAAAAAAACCAGAGTAAGAACATACGATATAATTGGTAGGAATTCCTATCACCAGAGTGAGAACTTTAAGAAAAACGAATAACCATTTCTTCTAATGTCTTCACATAGTAAGTTATTCCTACCTGTGTCTCTCTAGAGTAGTAGTTCTCTAACTTTACCCCCCAAGGGCATATCTGGCAATGGCCGGAGATATTTTTGGCTGTCAGCACAGGAGTGTGGGTGCAACTAGAATCTAGTGGGTAAAGACCAGGGATGCTGCCAAACATCCTACAATGTATAGGGTGGCCCCCACAGCAACGAATTATCCAGTTCAAAGGTCAACAGATGTAGGGAAAGATGGCCAGGGGCAGAACTGTGTTACTTATAGTTAAATGATTACAAACTTACTTTGCTTTTTATACACTGAGATTTGTGTCACGGATCAAATATTCTTACGCAAGAACTCTGGGAAGGAATGCAACCTCTGCTCACAAGACTTGGGAGGGTTTTTGCAGATGGGAGCTTGCAGGACAGAAAAGTTTTGCCTATGTTCTCAGAATATGGAGTAATTCTGGTTGCTCTGTGTCCTCAACACGGAGATTAAAAAAAAAAAAAAACCCTTGATTTATTATGGGTGGTCAGACCTTAGGGCGCCACTGTGCCTCTTTTGCATATGCACCTGGATAGACAATGGGTGGTAAAAACTCCGTGTCTTAGCATTTCTTAGAAGAGCCACGCAGACACAAGCTCTTCCCCTGGCCATCTTCCTTCTCAACTCCCCTCCCCATAGCCCAGCCTGCAAGATTGACAAGATAATGCACCCAATAAAAAGCGTGTGGAGCCCAGAGCTCAAGGCCATCCCAGTTCACCCTGGACCCCTGGACCCATGCTGTGAACTTCTACCCTTGTCTCTGTCTTATTTCTTTTCTCACTCCCCCATCACCGCTGGGACATGGGGCACCCACGTACAGGGGTGATGTTAAAAAAAAACTTGTACCTGTAATCTCAGCAGTTTGGGATGCCAAAGCAAGTGAATCATTTGAGCCCAAGGGAAGCAAGGGGAAAAGGGAAGGGAAGGGAAAAGGAAAGGAAAGGGAAAAGGAAAGGAAAGGGAAAAGGGAAGAGAAAAGAGAAGGGAAAAGGGAAGGGAACCTTGTCCTAGAGTTTTGCATTTAACCCTGTTATAATACTTGTTGCAATGTACTGGAATTATGTTTACAGAACTCTGACACTACATTGTGACATTACAGTAAGCTAGGATCTTTTCATTTTCTTCATATCTCTCACTGTAACCACAAAAATAGCAAGGTAACAGCAAGAGGAAAATGAGCAGCAATAGCAGCCACTGCTATTGCTCTCAGCCACTCACTTAAACCTATTTTGTTACCTTCAGATCCCCTACTCTCTAGTGAAACAGAATGATCTCAGAGACCCAAGGTGAATATATTCAATTTTGCAAACAAATTGAAATGGCCCACAATTCTGGAAATCTACTTCTTTAGGCTCCTAATGTTTTTTAGAATCTTAGGGTTAAAAGAAGCTTTGGCAACTTGCCTAACCTCTAATGAATGGAAACCATTCTAAGCAACGAATAACAATAGCTTCCCAATTCAGCTTGAGCATGTGACAACATCACAGAATTCACTAACTCTCAATCTAACTTTTTCCCACTTTATTATGGTTCCAAATTAAATAACTCTTCTTCGTAGTGTGTGGAAATATGTTTTGTGGTAATTTTACCTCCTGGTCCTATGTATAGTCACTGCAACTGAATAGAATAATAATAATAATAGAATTAATCTGTTTACATGACACCATTTTCAAAAATGTAAAGAAAGCTATTACACGTCTGCTAAGCCCTCCCTTCTCTAAAGTATGTATAATTTCTTTATATATGGCTATATGTAACTTTAAAATATTCCTTTTATGACATTGTTTTAGAAACCACCAACTTATTCACCTTCCTCTAACACACACTATTTTGTAAATGTCTTCTTAAAATGTAATGCCCAAACTGAACATGACCCTCCAAATATGGTCTGCCTAGCGCACAGTATTAATGGCCTCTGCTGTAGCACTTACTGATCAACCGAAACTCCAATAACTTCATCATGACCCACTTATATCAAGCTCTGGCTTCCCCCTGTTCCTTTTTTTCCCTTTGTTTTTTCTCTCTCTTTTTGGTCACATCTGCTGTGTCACTTGTGTTGTTGTTGTATACACTGATTATTTAAACCTTAGGCAAGGCTTTGTACTTTCTACCACTAAATTTCATGATTGCAAGCTTTCCTTTTAGAGCTAGGACCTTCTGTTTATTTATTTTTTTCTTTGAGACAGGGTCTCAGTTTGTCACCCAAGCTGGAGTGCAGTGTGGCACAATCAGAGCTCACTGCAGCCTCGAACTCCTCCCAGGCTCAAGCTATCCTACTGCTTCAGCCTCACAAGTAGCCGGGACTACAGCAGGCACACACCACCAGGCCCTGCTAATTAATGTGTGTGTGTGTCTGTGGAGATGGGGTCTCACTATGTTGCCCAGGCTGGTCTTAAACTCCTGGGCTCAATTGATCCTCCCACCTCAGCCTCCCAAAGTGCTGGAATTACAAGCATGAGACCCCTTGCCAGGCCACAGAGCTAGGACCTTTTGGAATCTGGATTCTGATGCATCACATAATAGATGGCCCCTTCGGCATAAATATGCATTCTACATTTTCATCTAAGTCATAGACTTAAAAACTGTTCATTAAAGCATCAGACCAAAGAAAGACTTCAGAAAAAGTCACTTTTCCAAATCAAGCTGCATCTGAATTAGAGAATATTGCAAGAGAAAGTGTAGGTGTAAAAGATCTTCATAATTATTATCACTCATTCCTCTCTTCTCAAATGTTTGGCACTCTGCTATCAGGTTAATCCTTATAAAAGCACAATGCATCATATAACATTTGTATGAATATACCACCACATTTAATTCAAATTTTTCTGCTAGGCTTCTAAAACCTTTAGTAATTGAATGAAATTTCTGCTCCAAGTTAGTCTCCTAACTTTCCCAGACTTCCAATATTTCCTTTTGGAACCTCTTCCAAAATCTAAATTCTATCATTCTTTCAAAGTACAGTTTCAGTTACAATTCATTCATTAACGTGTGTGTATGGAGAGTGAGAGATGAAGAAAGACACCTTCCAACTACATAGTTTGAGGCTCCAGGTGGGATAAAGTATATAAATGACTTAATATATATGCAGCAATCCTCTAACGACTATAGTAGCAGAGATTAACTGCTAATTACTCCTCCGGTTTCTCATTTATTTGCAGCACTAGGATGCTGAGCAGAGTAGGTACCAAAAGTTTACCTGTTAAATTTTACACACTTTGTTTTGTTAAAATAAATTATTTATGGACGTCACAGTTCCAGAAGAAAGAGATTAAAATAAACAGAAATGACTCCCAATTTCAATAAATTAAGTAAAACGTTCCTTGAACTTTTAAAGAGAAAAAAAAAAAAAAAATGATCGCGTTACCAATGCGTATGGCTATATGTGAGCTGCTCTCTTCCTTTGAATTTTGGATTAAGTGTGAAATTTTTGCCATTTCATTAATGGTTTTTAATTTGGTTAGGAGACGTTTGGCAACGGAGATCTGTAAAAAGCTGACAAGTATCTGCAGCCAAACAAGCCACATTGCCACCACCTTTCCAAAAATCACACATAAATGTAAACCTAAGTTGAACAATTTCAGCTCAAGCTCGTCTTCTTCGGTCTATGCTGCACCAGGAAACATCCATTAGTTTCGGAGGAACTAAGCTCTGGTTGTTTCTGGTACTAAAATTAAATAAAAAGTAACGATGGGCCCGCCCATCGCCTCCCAAGCGCTGGTTTCTTCAGGCTCCTCCCACCGCTGAGTACAACGAAAACATCTCCAGGCCCGGGGTCCCGACCCACACCACAGCGTCCTGCCCGTGCGTTGGGATGGAGAAGACGCCCGCAGGCTCCCTTCCTTCATCCTCTCACACTCACCTACAGAGCCGGCCGCCCACAGGAAGGCGGTGAGTTTGGGGAGCAGCTACAAGCAAAGTCAAAAATCAGCAAACGTCTACCGTTGTCACTTTTCAAACTTGCCGCCTCCTACTGGAAGTCCCGCCCCGTTCCGCCAAGCCCACTTCCACCAGCGACGGATGCCGGTTGGGCTCAAGAGACTCCAGGCGGGTGGGGCTGGAGTTGTTATGGAAGGGGCTGGGCGCGAGGCGGAACCATTGCTCGCGGAGCTGGCGTCGAGTCGGAACCTGAATTCCGCAGGACGTGGGAGAGCCGCGGTTTCGGGGAGGAGTCTGGAGTTGAGCCCAGCTCTGCGTGACTTCTGCCAGCGCTTGGAGCGTTTCGGTGTCCGAGCTGAAGAGCAAAACCAAGCGGAAGAAATTTCACTAAATTCAGGGTGACAAGGTAGTAAGGACAGGGTTAATTTATAGAATTCCAGAGTAATAATAACTTGTTGAACATTGATTATGTGCCAGGTTCTATTAGATGCTTTAGCCATCATCTCAGTTAGACTTCATTAAAGAGGAGAAAGGGGGAGTAGAGAGATACTATTATTATCTCCTCAGATGAGGGCTCTGCATCAGAGAATGATGCAGTTCTCTGCATACAGTAGTTCACAAGTAGCATGTCTTGGATATGAACACAGGTTCTCCGATTCCATGCTCATAAGCAAGACTTCAAGAGGTGGAAGGAACATAACAGTTCACCTGGTCAAATCCTATCCCTTTTACAGATAAGAAAACGACCCAGAGAGAAGTGATTTTTTAGAAGTTACACAGTAAGTGGGACTGTGTAATTGAGGTTTGGGTAACGAGAGGATGTAATCAGACTTATATCTGGTCACAGAGTAGAGCATCATCTGGTGACAGTCGTGTGTTGGATGGGGAGCCTGATCTGAATTATGTGAAAGAAAAGTGCTAGAAAGGTTGTGTTGAATGTAGACACAACTTCCAGTGCTTTGTCGTGTGGGTTGGAGGAGTAAACCTATTGATATAATAGTCTATAACAATTCTAAATAAAAATACATTTCAGATTCAGTAGTTCAGGGTCTTTGTTTTTCCTTTCTATGTCTATTTACTGATGTGAGTCTCAAAGTCAGAATCTAGTAAAATGCAAAAGAAGATTAAGAAAATAGATTTTTAAAAAATATCAGAGTCAGTGAGGAAAGCAGAAAAAAGAGACCTATTTCATTGAAACTTCCCAAATCAAACTGATTACTTATCCATGCATATCTTCCACCGAATCATATGTCCTTAGAGGCAAGGAAGGGAATCATAGCTTAGTGGCTGAGAGCACATTTCTGCCGTTGAAGGGAGTTGGATTGAAATTCCTGATTACACCATTTACTACCTAGGTGGACTTGGGCAAGCTGTTTAACCTAACTGATCTGGTTTCTGCATCTTTAAAATAGGGGTGGCAGTTCTATCTGCTTTATGGGATTAAGTGAATTAGTTCCTGTAGAGTACTTAATTAAGTGCCTGGCAAAACTGTGAGTACTTGGTAAGTATTAGCTGTTATTTTGACTATTATTATTTATACATGGTCCCTAGTAAAATATCTTGCAAGTGTTGAGTGCTCAACAAATATCTAAATTGTTGCTGAGAGTCTAGGCAAAAAAAAACAAGCGATTTTTGTGAAAGCCAAGATCAGAATGGACCGTGGAGAAAGAAAAAAATGAGACAAAGGAAGAAAGAGCAAGACAACCATTTTGTTGTATCTATAATAAATACTGTTTATTTGGGGGGGGGGGGTTAATATTACTATTGATGTGATAAATTGATAGTCATATTAGAAGTAAATTATTTATTGAAAAATTGAGTGTTTATTCAAATGTTCTCAATTAGAAGGTTAAATCTGACTTTTTAAAACTTTTAGTTGCCTGATACTGGTCACTGTAAGGTAGAAGATGGAACAGCAGAATTCTCACCCTCGACATTATTCGAACAGTTTTGTTATCATCCATAAAAACACTGACTATTGCAGAAAACTTAACTCTAGTATTCTTTCTGATTGTGGCATCAGAATTTTATACCCTCACATGCGCTGCATCTGCCCTTCTATTTCATTTTCCCTGTGAGCCCTCCTGCCAGTACCACCCTTCCCAGCCTAGACTGTATGGTTTATCAGCATCCAAACTCCCTTTTTCTGATGCCTCTGACACAGGTGCTTGTCAAAATCTTATCCCTGAATCTTGTCTATAAATCCTTAGCTGGAAACACTGGAGAAAATGATACAAAGTGACATATGACAGATTGTCAGTCTCCATCTTCAGCTCTTTCCTTGATTCCTGACAATCCTTTAATTTATCATCAGCAATTTCCTGTCCTGCAACTTTCAGCAATTTCTCACAAACTTACCCTTTCGTCATTCCTCTTCCCAACCTAAATTTCCTTCTTTAATAGAAAGTGACCAGAGTAGTCTTAAAGGTGTGTTTCAAGCACAACACACTCGTATGCATCTGCAACTAGTTGTGCCTGTTGCCTTTCTAATTTCGATTTCATGTTCCTTTTCTAGACTGTACTTTAAATTCTGGATGATAGGCCTGTAAGGACTGAATGGAACTTTGAGTGACAAGATGGGGATGTTCCAGAGAGAGTATGGCAGTCTGCAGCTAGGACTATCTTTAATGCAGTTGGTGATGCTGTGATATCTAGTGCTTTAAACAAATCTCTCTTTTTAAGTGACAGGAGTTCCAAATTGGTATTTCTACTTTGTTTAATAGATCAATAGGGACAAAAAGTTGATTCACTTGGTCTAATGTAGTAGGAATAAGTGAAATACTAAGACTAGGTCCTACACTCTACTTGCCATCAGGCACCCATTCTTATGAATAGAGATTCCATAGGGGCCACCGACAGTCCCAGTACTTTCCTAGTTAATTGAGAAAATTAAACCCGTCATACAACATATCACATCCTGCCTTTCTACTTCTGTCAATGCCACATATATCCACCCATCTTATTTGTCTATCTCAGAAAACGAAATGTCCTTCCTCCACCAATGTATGACCACTGTTTCTTGTTCTAGACCTCGCTTCTGCATTTGGTATCATGATCAAACCCTCCTTGAAACTCCTTTTTCATCTCTCCCATCTTTTTCTACCTGCCTCATGCTTCTTTAGGGTCCTTTTTCCTCTGCCTACCCATTAAATAGTATTTCCCAAAGTTCCACCCTTGAGTTGTTTTCTGTCTGTATCTTCCCTGTGGGCATTATCCACTCATTGTTTAAACCTATTTGCTCATGGATCCTAAAACTACTGCTATTCTGACCTCTTCCTTGACGTTCAGACTTTTGGGAGGCTCACAAGCCCTTCAAACTCTACTTCATCCTTTCCTTTCACTTGTACTCCCAATTCTATCTCATCTCACTGCCTTCAGCCATAACTACTACCACCCCTACCTACACCACCAAATCCATCTTGTAAGTAGCAGCCAGAATGACCAGTCTCAAATGTAAATTTATTTCACTTGCCTCCTTAAAGTTCTAATCCCCCTCTGCAGTCACCTTCAAAGTAATTCAACTCCATGGCTGGTGTGCTAGGGTCTTCATCATCTTGCCACTGTTTTCCTTCCCAGTCTCATTTCCCTTTCCAGTACCATCTTCCCTTCTACCCACTTCACATTCATGAGGCTGTTTTACACCTGAGACCTTTTTGCATTCTTGTTGACTTTGTCTGGACTCTCTTTATTTTCTTCGGCTGACCCTTTCTTATCCTTACTAATTTTTTAAGGTTCTTCCAAGAAGCCTTTCCTTATTCCGTAGTCGGAGTTCGTTGAATTTTCTCTGTGCTTTCTTGAGGTTCATGGATTCATTCGGAAAATATTCATTGAACCCTTATTTTTTGCCAGACACTGAGCTAGATACTGTAAATATAATAATGAACAAGCAAATATGGCAATAACCAATCTAATAATTTCCTCACAGAGTTTACATTCTCACAGGGAAAAAAGAAAAAAAAAAAAAAAAAGGCAGTTCCATCTGATTGGCTCCATGTTTGAGAATAGCCAGGAATTGAAAGTGTAAAAGACAAGTGTTCTAGATAGAGGTTAGCAATGTTTATGAACACAGCCTAGGAACTGAGAGATTCTAGACAAGGGTGGAGAGGTAAACAGGGACCAGATCATGAAGAGCATTAGTGAATATGTAACAAAGTTTGGACTCCTTCTTAAAGCTAATAGTAAGTTTGAATGGTTTCAACAGGATTAGGTTAGTATTTAGATGATGAATCTGGCTACTCTGAGATAAAGGACTCAAATAGTGGCAATACCAGCAGGAAGGAAAACAGTTAGGAGATAATTGTAGTAATCCAGAGAAAGAAAGATGGCAGTTTATATGGGGGTATTGCCAGTGTGGATAGAAATAGATCTCAGAAGAATTTTAGGTAGTAGAAGTGGCAAAACTTGGTGACTGATTGAACTGTGAGGGCAGAAGTGGAAGAAATCAAGGATAGAGTTTCTTTTCTTTTTTCTGAGACGGAGTCTTGCCCCGTCCCAGGCTAGAGTACAATGGTGCCATTTCGGCTCACTGCAACCTCGGCCTCCTGTGTTCAGCAGTTCTCCTGCCTCAGCCTGCCAAGTAACTGGGATTACAGGGGTGTGACCACGCCCGGCTAATTTTTTGTATCTTTAGTAGAGACAGGGTTTCGCCATGCTGG